ACTCTTCACGGTCGTGATTTCTGTTGTGTTTTCCTCATGAATTATTAATGAGTTTGATAATATTATTTATATTCTTATGATCTTCTGCATTTATAACTTTGTAACTATACCTGAGTGTACAGTCATTATTTGTAGAATTTTGAAGTGGGAAGACTTGCAAACTTCAGTATGGTAAGAAAAAGCTGCAACAATTTTTTTGACTAATGAATGACTTGTAATGTATTATCTTATCTGTAATTACGCTGTATCTGCAGCATTAGATCTACCGGTTATACTTAATAATAATCACCTATCTAATTTAAGGTGGCTAGTGAATACCTAGCCTTATTAGCTGTGAATATGGCTGCCATGTCTTTGTCATTTGACTCTCTTTGGGATGCTTGCAAACCATCAGGCTGGTAGTTCAATCTCCATGACAGTGGCGTCACCACTTGTTTTTACTTCTGTTAATAATCTTTGCCACTTAATTATTAATAGTCTCTTTGAGCGCACCATCTTGAAAGGTAGCCATGCCTTTACATCGAAGCAATGAACAGTGAGCTTGCAATGATATAAGGTGTTAAAAAAGGTCTTTATCATTACAAGCTCACCGTTAATCTCGCATCAATGCTAAGGCAAAGCTACCTTTCAAGATGGCGCAGGGAACTGTGAAAGGGACTAATAACATTAAGTTGAAACACAATTTTTCGTTTCAGTGTACTTTTTGGCCTGCTATTGGCTATTCTTGTATTGTGTTTCATACCCATCAGACTCTTAATATTGTCTGGGATTCTTTGTGTATTTTGTTTAAATTTTGGATTTCGACCAGGTAAGCTCAACAGTTGCTCTGACTGTACTTTTCATAGCCATTTGACTACGCACCCCAAGATGTTTGGGTATTTCACTGCTGGAGCAGTTTTCATATGAGTGGGAAACAATAATTATGTCAAATTCATAGCAGTACTTTGTCTTACCATGACTGTATTTAAGTGCTGTCATTGGATGATCCACATGAAAACAATGGAAATATCCATTTAAATGTTTGTATACCTACGACTTTGTATACCATGTACATGTTGTAAGTCAGTACTGTACTACTGTACTCACTCATGAAAACTGATTTGTCTTACCTGTAAACTGAAGTGGAAGTTTGAGCCATAATCTCAGGCATCTCAAAATATAAATATAGCTGCTTGTTGTCAAGCATGGGCTGGAAGATTACAAATATTATGAGTTTATCTAAATATGTAGATACAATGCATAGTATGTAAATTACAGGGGGAGAAGAAATTTCTGGAGGAAGGAAGGAGTTGAAGAGAGGGTGTTCATTTTATTCATTTATTTATTATAGTCTCATTTATTTTAATTTCAAATGTGTCATAGTAGTTAATTTTATCACTGTAGGTATGAAAGATAGTAGACTGACATTTCGGACGTTAGTCCTTCGTCGGAGTCAATATTTTAATTTCATATATTTCTATTTTCAATTACATTTTAGTTGCAAGAAGTATTTCACTAATATTCGGCAAGTACCTCAAAAAGCTGGTTACTTTGCTTGGCATAAATGAGTTGTTTCCATCGAGGGACATAAGAAGGATCCCATCCCAAAGTGCCAATAGTGATCTTCAAGATGAATGGGTATGTTGGGATTAATGACACTCTCTGATGGTCATTTTTAAACTCGTTACTCTTTGAATGGGTGCTACTATGTAAGGGTTTTTGAGTGGACTTACAGTATATTATTGGGTGGGGGGAGAGGGGTGCCTATATATGCATGTAGCCAGGGCCTATTATCTATGCCATTTAAAGTGCTTATAAGCCTTYGCACAATATTTTCAGAATTGATTCTTTAGATAGTGGATAGTTGATTGTGAAAATACTTCGTCACTTGAATGTCGGGTCTTTAAGATACGAGGATTTATATTCCCAATATGTTAATGACTATGAYGTAACATAAGGGATCATTTAATATACAGCACTGCACTCGTTCTGGAATACAGTATTTTAAAAGCATCACCCTTTTACTCGTGACTCACGTAAAGGTTCTTACAAATTTGTTTTCAAAAAATGTCCAGCGTTCAATATAAAAAGTTGCCACAAAATAACTCAAATCCCTTATGTTACGTCATAGTCATTAACATATTGGAAATATAAACCTTCGTATCTCAAAAACCCGACATTCAAATGACGAAATATTTTCACAATCAAATATTCACTATTTAAAGAATCAATTCTGAAAATATTGTGTAAAGGCTTATAAGCACTTTAATTCTTTATCATGGTAAAACTTGGGTCAAATCCACAGGTAGCCCAATGAAGTAGGATAGAAAGAAAATGTTCAATCTTTAGTCTAACTTTTGGGGGGGAATAGTCCCCTTCACAGTTCCCTGCGCCATCTTGAAAGGTAGCCGTGCCTTTGCATCGAAGCGAGACGAACGGTGAGCTTGCAATGATAGAGACATGTGAAGTCTCTATCACTGCAAGCTCACCGTTCGTCTCGCTTCAATGCAAAGGCACGGCTACCTTTCAAGATGGTGCAGGGAACTGTGAAGGAGACTATTAGGGGGAAGTATTTCTAATATTCTAATTTCAAATTTGTGTTGTTTTTTTTTTGTACTTTCTCTGCAATGAGCTGTGGTGGTGATGCTGCTTTTGTTGTTGTTGTTGTTGATTATGGCAACCACAATGAAGATGATATTTGGCTGCATGGCCAAGAAACATCAAAATATGAAAATCTAAAATTTCCTCATAACCTCAAAAAGAGAAAAATGTCATTTCTTTTACAATGTTTCTCTTTTCGTATAGTTTGATGCAGCAGAAGACAAAAGTGATACTGGTATATCCAGTGATGACGATGGCAGTGACACAAATGATGCACAAGGGGTAATGTTATCTTGAAACTTATGCATACAGTACATATATTATGACGAGCGATAGATCGATTTACCTTGGATGTATTGTTTTCCGATTTCAGACCATGTGACATTCCCTTTAGGGGAGTTGTATCCATATTCATAAGTTTTCTCTCACACAACCATTAAACAAAGAAATGATACTCTAGGGAATGACACGTGGTCTGAAATGGGAAAACATTACCCACGCCCAAGGTAAAGAGGTCCATAGAAACCTTTTAAACCCTTAGTATATTTTATTGATTTTATTCAAGCTTTTCATTACACTTGTAAGGATTATTATGGTTTTTTTCTTACAAAGTTTTTGAAATAAATAGAAAAAATAGACCCTTAGTTCATAAATTTAGTGTCACACTTTCTTCATTACAAAAGGTCTATGCTTATTTTTTTAAATAACTATTTTAATTTCGCAATTTCTTCTTCTTTTCCTTACAGGAACAGTCCTCAAGTCAAAGAAGTAAGTGCATTTATGTTTCTTTATCCAGACTGTAGTTTATTTAGATTTTGGAACACAGTATTAACAATATTGATCCAAGCCCTTTAAACTTGAACCCATGGCTTGTAAGAAATAGGTCGACCACTCCCAGCATTATCGAAGTGAAAAGATTAGCTTTACCTTTTACCGTCTTATTAGGAACAGTACCTTCGAGCACTTTAAACTTGAACCCCTGGCTTGGGACCCGGGGGGGGGGGGGGGGGGACTCCGGGAAAAAAGTACCGGGATGCTCGTCGTATCTCTTAGGGGTGAAAATTCGCGATTTAGTATCTTTTAGGGTTATTAAATGTGAATTTTTGAAAATCATCATTTTCTGGTATCTCTTAGGGTCTCGGAAAAGGAGGGAAGCGTGCATCAATATGGCTTATCCTAGGCGCTTTTTATATAAAATTTAACATTATTTGTTGTGGTATCTCTTAGTGGTTAAAAATCATTCAGCCACGCCCATTTTTAAAGACTTCCGGTATCTTTTAGGGGTCTTTTTGAAAATTTCCGACGAGCATCCCCGGTACTTTTTTCCCGGCCCCCCTCCCCGGGGCTTTGGAGAAATTGGGCAACCCTCCCGACATTGTCAAAGTGAAAAATTAGCTTTACCTTTTACCTTTTAACCATAAGTGGGATTGGAATAAGGAATGGATTGTTTACCCAAGTAAAAAATATTTTTATGTCATTAACTTTTTAACAGAACTAGACTCCAAATCGGTGTTATCACAAATTGCAGACTTTCGAAGAAAACAGAAAAAATTGAACAGTGGTAAGATATGAATAATGGGTGCTCCATATGTGGTGCATTTTATAATTGCCTTTTACCCATTTCATCATTACAAGACGCACACAACTAGCTATAATTTGAGACATCTGGGTTTTAGCTCCCGTCAATCAATCAAATTTCCAATGGTCTGGTTTAGTATTTTTCGAGCCAAAAACCCCAAACAACTAAGGCTGTTTTGGTGGTGCCTAAAAATGGCTTTAAACTCGTATTGTTTATTATCAAATGCAGGAAAGGAACCGGATTTCTTTCATGATTCTTCTTCTATAAAAATAATTTTCTGTCACATTTTATGATTCCTGATTTATTAGTAACTCTACTTTTAATATTTTGGGTGACAAAGGTGAATATTTTTGTTGTTTAAGGGACATGTTCATCGTGTGATGTTCCCTTCTCTATCTTGAAGAAAAGGGTGAGTACAACTTATGACAAAGTTATCGTTGAGTCGTTGCTTAGGTTTGTTAGGCGTCTTTGAAAATTGATGGTGGATGGGTCATCTGAGAACCTCGGACTAACCGTTCTTTTTTCCTGCTAAAATCCTTTGACAAGGCGGGAAGTCCTATCCTGCAAATTCAGTTAATCCTTCAGTTTCACTCAGAGCAAATATTGCATTTTCTATCTTGATTGAACTAGCGGGAAAAGCAAATGCAGCAAACCGTACTCATCCACTGATCTCTTTTATGTCAATGCAGCAATATTGTCGACATTGTGGCAAAAGTTTCTGTTCAAGATGCTGTTCTCACCGTGTTAAAAGATCTGTATTTGGAGCTACAGGTATGAATGATGCTTTACCCATAGCCATAATATTAACCCTATTTTCATATCTTAGCGGCGTACTTGTTATGGGGACAATGGGGCTAGAAGTTACTGGGGACTTATGCAAAAGAGAAGAGGGTGTAGGGTTTACTAACGACTCACAAAAAGCCTGAAATTTAACTGACAAAATAAGCAAAATTTTACCCGACAACTTACACCTGGACCTTATCCAGAGCCTAAAAAAGGAACGCACTCGTCAGTAAAGTAGTGTTTCGTACGCTGTTATACATCGCCACGTGTCTTCCATGTACAACCGATAAACAAAGAAATGACACTCTAGGGACACATGGTATAAACTAGGAAAACTAGGTCTATTAAAATGCTTTAAATATGATTTTTTTCAGCTCCTGCTGCCTACGAAGAAACTGTATTGGTCTGTAACACCTGCTATGACTTGTTAATGAAGGGGACCCCTGAAGAACAGCCTAGCGGCGCTGCTCGGTGATAAAGGGTTACAGGGCCCATATAATGCCAATCCGTGGTTGAGGAACTGAAAAAACTGCGTCGACTTGGCAGTGCATTCCGCTGGAAAAACTGACTGGTTGATACATTACAACCAATTAAATTGGTCATAACCAATCTCAATTGGTTGTTTCAACACGAAAAGCAATTGGTTATTTTCTTGAACACAAAAAGGTTGGTCGTAACAACCATCATACAAATCGTAGACGGTTGTTTTAACGAAGAATAAATGGTTAACACTAATGTTACCAAATAATACAAATAATAAGAAGAAAAGCATGTAAAGCGCTTATACAAGTCTGTTCTAAGTGCTAAATTAAATTACAAAGAAAAAGCTATTTTAAATAAATGAGTTTTAAGATTAGATTCAAGAGAAGATAAATTAGAAATATCTCTAAGTGAAGACGGTAAAGAGTTGCAAAGTTGAAGAGCAGAAATTTAGATTACATAGAGAGTTGACCTATTAAACCTAGAATAAATCATGGTCAACACTAAATAAAATGGGTTATTACTACCAATAACATAGATGGTTTCAACCTAGAATAAATGTTAACACAGTTACCAAATAAAGAGGGTTATTACTACCAATAACATAGATGGTTTCAACCTAGAATAAATGTTAACACAGTTACTAAATAAAATGGATTATTACTACCAATAATATAGATGGTTTCAACCTAGAATTTAAAGCACAGTCGTTAGCAAAGAGGGCCGTGCACGTGCACCCCCCGCAAAAGCTAAAGGTCCGCTGGCTGCGTTAACACGGTACCCGGGACGAATATTTAACCGTCACAACGTCGTATGCTTAGGGGTTCCGTTCACACGGGACTAAGCTATCCGGACAAAAATTTGTACGTCTAGCCCTGCAAATTTGGATCCGGTTCCGTGTAAACGGAACGTATTTTTTATAAAATTAAAGAGACGGTTCCGTGTAAGCGGCATGTACAGGTGAAATTTTTGACCGGCTAACCCCTATAAACGTACAACTTTTCAACGGGTCAAAAATTCGTCCGGTACGCGTTAACGCACCGCCAAAGGGTTGAACCCTTTTAGAGCACGTTGAACCAGGAAGCCTATACTGAGGTCAGAGCAATAATACTTGACAATGACTTTTCTCGATTTATGATTTTAAATGAAGGTGACATTTCTCGTAAGAAATATGACAGAAAGAAAAATTAATTTTCTTGTTATTTTGGCGTTGTTATCGATATCTAGTAAGTACAAGGGAACTGGGAACAAGGCTCATAATGCCTTGCGAGCGACGGCCATATTTTGGCGTTCACCCATGGAAAATGGAAGATGTACCCGAAAGTGTTATAGATATGGTTTAACCTGCTAAACATGCTCACTAGGAGCAACAATCTGGGTCAATTCAAGGCGTATTTTGCGTGTGTAATACGGCATGGAGCTTTACCAAGCCAGAGATAATTTTATCATCCAAGATCGATACTACAGCCTCTGGTGTAACAGGCTGGATGGTGGAGTAGTTCCGCGTCAAGGTACGGATTGTACGGACCTTTTACCAGTGATATTGATATTCCCTCGAAGTGATGCTCTAGAAACATTATTCTTGGAGCTGTACTATGGTATCTGTACTTTTATCGCTTTTGCAGCTTCTCTGAATATTTTTTCTATCCAAGGTGTTCCTCCGAGTGAAGCCTTTGACCCGGTTTGCAAAGGACTCATCTATGGCGTTATTGGCAAAATACAATTTTTCCCCGGTAAGTTAAACGCTTTAGTAAGACTCTGTACGTCCTCTTAACACCTCTAAACCTGAAAGTATCCTAAATAATCAAAGCAAAGGATATATTTTGAGTTTCACGTAGGTTCAACATGGATGTCAATGATGACAGCTATGCTCTATTCGATAGACTCTGCCTTCCTGTTTCGAGCTATTTTTTCCTCAGAACTGTCAACTTCTAAATCGATTTTCATTTATAAGCTTCCACTGAAACACCATCCTTTCATATTGCTACCAATTATTAACGTTCTTGCAATTCTCTTGAACCTTTATTTTTTTTATTCTTGATAAAAATTACAATCGAAATTGGACACCTGCATTTTAAATTCTTAAAAATATACTACAATCATATTTTTTATCATCCACAAATTTACTGTCTAGATTTTACAACATTTTTAAAAAACAACGCTGATATATTAATATAACCTATAAAATTGTTAATATTATTCCTTAAGTATTTTATTACCAATTGTCCAGGCCAAGAAATTCATTGACAATCTTATAAATTGTGGTTTCAAAACCTACTACGGTCACAGCGTATTCTTGCCTATCGATAGATTTTCAGTGTTTTTTTACCAGCATCATGAAACATTTATACCCTACAATTTTAAAAATATTGGATCCAGTCGTTTTATGGAAATTTAGAATTTCTGCTTGCAATACGATCTTACAAAGTGATGTTTTGAAACATAAAAATGGTTTTCCCAGACGTGTCAAAATGGTTTCTTTGATAATGTCCTTATGAACTTTTATTTTTAATCTAAAAATCTGCTGATGATCTTAATTTCCATCCCCTATGAAACAGTGTGAGCTCCAACATATTTGACACATAAGAGAAATATCACTTCAAAGTTTAAATGTTTTTGGCATTTTTTCCTTCATTTAAATACCAAAAAACAGAAAAATTCTACATTGTCTGAAGTGCATTGTCTAATCTATTAAATTATGTCAATGATGTTTACTCCAATTTAAAATTCAATTCACTGGGATAGAATTTAAATGAGATTAATATGTAAATGAGGGAGTCATTCTTCAGCGATTTTTGAATTGGTTATCTGCGTCATTTCCTTAGAGTTCTCATAGCACTTTTGACAGGTAATCAACAACCTTTAAGAGGCAGCACATGTACTATATCATTCTAGATCAATCTGTTTCAAATTAATAAATATTGCATTATCTTAATATTTCCAGCTGATCTGAGGGTTTTGTAAGCCAATCAGAATTAAGAACATTTGCAAAACCGAGGTGTCACTTTTGTTCTTGGATTTCCAGGTCACCAAATGAAAAAATAACATTGCTAATAAGCACTTGATAACAGTCACACAATATTTTTATTTTGCTGGCAGGCATGTTTTTATTTTTCACTTATCAATTTTTGCAAGCTTCATAACACCTCAGATGTTTTGCAGTGAGGACTTGTAGATAAATTGGATCACCATAAAAAGCTTTGTGAAACTGACGTTTCGGGCGTTAGTCCTTCATCGGACTAATGTCCGAAATGTCAGTTTCACAAAGCTTTTCACAGTGATCCACTTTATCTACAAGTTCCTACTGTTTTATTCAGAAACACTGACGCAGTCTACACTAGTTCTCTACTAGTTATCATCACTAGTTTTGTAGTGATATCATTTCTACCTCACCATTTGAGAACAGTTGGCTGTTCTTGGTAAAACAATRTGTGTAGAATTTCCCAAACATTATAAAATATATTTTGATTTAAGATTGAGTGGTTTTTCATATTGTTTTTCATTTTCACATGTGGATTTAACAAAATGCCAAGAAATTTGGCTTAGTTGATTCCAAAAGTTTTAGGAAAATTTCCAGAAAAATTATAATCAAATCCTAAAAGAATTCCATTTGTCAAGCTGCCAAAGATAAGAGGCTACTAGTAGCTTTCCGTAATAGTCTGAGTATGATACTGTCACTTTCAGTTGTTAGATACTATAAACCACACATATTATTTTGGAGATTTAAGTTCATACAAATTTCTTTAATGTGTTGTTCCCTTCTTTGCCACAGGGGGTTTTCTGTTGCTTTTATCCTTATTTTACCCTCTGGGCTGATCAAAGTCAGGGCATGATTAACTCACAGATCGAACCCTGAGATCAATATTCTCATTCTCATAATTTTGACAGAAATCAATATTTTGATATACCTTGAAGATTTCTGTCAAAAAAGTGATAATGTGAATGTGGATTTCCTTTACCTGCGATCTGTAATCAATATTTTCTGTCGTATGCATTTTGAAAATTTTGCGATTGAGGCTCCCAGGAATGTGATTTCCATTTTTGAGGGGCAATTGCAGCTGCATTAAAGTCATGTCAAAGCTTTCGGTAACTCATAACAGAAAATCATTTTTTTGCTAAAAACATGGTTGTACTGAAGTCTCCACTCTACCTCCATGATGCCTGTATAATAATATAACGTATTTATAACAATGTCCAATCATGTGTATTACTGACAGGAGCCGAGTGGAAACTACTAGTCATCACAAAGAGAACATCATTAGGACTGTTGCCTGGCAACCATAAGGCCTATAGAATTGACAGGATTGCAGTTCTTCCACTTGCTCCTGGAGAAGTTCCTGACCTTGAACTTGATGTGAGTACATAAAAGTGAAGACAGTAGAATTATGTGGTCTTGATCTCATGATTGAGATAAATATAAAATTCAGTACAGTACTTTGAGACAACTGGAAGCTTCTACTCCGAAGTCATGTGACCCTCTACTAAGAACTCGCATGACCTTGTCCCCCGTAAAACAAAGCAGATGTGTCAAAATCAGGGAAGCATGGGTGGCGTAGATTTTTTCTTTTTTTTAAATGAACCCCATAAATCATAGAAAGAGCACTTCAATATTAGTAATACTAGTACGATAAAGTACTAAGAGAACAAATGGTATTATATTATAATAATATAATTGAATGTTGATTTTAGGGATTTTTTAATTTTTCATCTCATTAATGTGATGTACCTGTAGGATAAATGAATAATTTCTAAATAATAAATGATAATGATTAATAAATGAATACTTAATTTTTGGGGAAAATAAGTTGTTGGACAGCAAGCTCTTGCCAGTCACTGTATTATCTCATATGGATATTCAATTTTTTGGATGAATAATGAATGAATGAATGCAGGGTTTTCATTGAGTTTTGAAATAATAGGAAAAAATCATAAGATGGTTAAATTAATATTTCTTCAACCAAAAACAAGTCGCTTCCGAGCTTTCAGGCACTAGTGCCCATCTTAAGATCATTAGATCTTTTAGATCGTTAGACTTTTTAGATCACTCTTTTATATTTTATAACTTTACATTTTTCTTATCGTATTTAATTTATCTTTTTATGCATATTTTTGTTTATTCATATTTCTTTAATTGTATTATCATAATATTACTTATCGTATATCCTTATTTAAGACCCTACTCAAAACCACTTTTAGTGAGTAGGTTTCCCTCATTAAAGTGCTACTACGACGAAAATTGCTCAAACTTGGATTCAGCTGAAACTTCTTAAAAATACTCTTTAAAGGTCCAATAATCACTGTATGAAGTGTTTTCTCGATATTCAGTACAAAAGTATGATATTTTTACGATTATTTTTTGGAGTCTGTGACGTCATACACTCAACATCAAACATTGCTACATATATTTCTTTGTATATAAATCCTTAATTTATTTTATTCCTATGAAGCCCAAAGGGTGGCTAATGTGCTTATTTCACATTACTTGTGACTATAATTTATATTTTGGGGTGTTTGGGTATTTCTTTCTCCCTTTACTACTGATGTTTTGATCATAAACTACAAAGAAATGTATGGAGCGATGTTCGATGTTGAGTGTATGACGTCACAGACTCCAAAAAATAATCGTTAAAATATCATACTTTCGTCCGGAATATCGAGTAAACACTTCATACAGTGATTATTGGACCTTTAAAGAGTATTCTTAGGAAGTTTCAGCTGAATCCAAGTTTGAGCGATTTTCGTCGTAGTAGCACTTTAAAGATTAGCAAGAGAATTTTGCTCAGTTACCAGAACATTCTGCATTCTCTGACCCTTAATGATAACCCTGTTAATAAATGAATATTATTATTATCCACAGTTATGTGAGAAACACAAAGGGGGTTCAAAGAAATCATTAGGGGGTGGTGATGGACAACAGAAGGGTTTACAACAAACATGGAAGTCTATCAAGTCTGCAGCAAACAACATTAAAGACAATGTTAAGAGCACTGTAAGCATATTTGTTATATAATTAGGATAGTACACATGCATTGATTGGTCAAAAACTGTGCTTTATTAGTGAACAGAGCACAGTGGGGACGCCATCTGCATGCGTAAAGTCCTGCTAGATCCTGCGACCTTCTTTCTTTTTGCAAAAAAAAATTTATTACTGAAATAAAATTTGTAGCTATATAATAAAATGAATAAACAGCTTTTTCTGTGCTCCACTCAGTAATAAAGCACTTAGGAAGCGCCCTAAGCACTTTGGATTAGTGCCGGAGGTGTTTATCACGTGATAGTGTGAGTTTCTCGACCAATCAGCGCGCGAGATTTTCAATAATAACCTGTGTATTTTTACTAATAACTAATATTAGAGGAACACGAAAGAACCACATAGGATGTGATGAAATCCTGGAATGCAGTGACCAACATCAGTTCCTACCCTTCATACTAACTACCTCTGATGAATTCATGAGTGATCACATCTGTATGGTATAATGGTGCTATACAAATCATATCCAGAGGGAGGGAGGGGAGGGGGGGAATGTGCATAAGGTGGCTAGCTATCATAATTTTGAGTTGGACTAAAGTTAAGGCAAAATCAAAAGAGGACACCAGAAAAACAGCCCGACATTGGGCTCCCCCACAAAAATAAAGTGTCCTGAATCTGCCAGTCCTCTACAAATTTGAATTCACTCCTTTGAATCAGGTATTAGGTTATTTTTGGACTTAACAGTAGGAGGTTCAAAGATTGAAGTTTGTTTGTATGTTTTGTAGAATACACCAAGAGATGTCAAAGACAAAGAGAAAGAAAAGCTAGAAAGAAGATTATTAGAGGTAAGTTTTGTTAATAATGACTTGTGACCTCTAACTTGAACTAACTTTCATGAAATGTAGAAGGTGAGAATACAATGTAGAAAATATGAAAAACCATTAAATAATGGAATTAAGGGTGCATAGTTGTACTGTACGTTACTGCACTTTTGATTTTTACCCCTAAGAGATACGATGAGCACCGATACTAAATATGAAAGTATCAGGTGTGCTCATCATATCTCGTAGAGGTAAAAATCAGCAATTTGGTATCTTTTTAGGGTTTTCCTTAAGTTTTGAAATAACAGATTAGGTCATGGTAGTTAAGACCAGAGAATTACCAAAGCATTCTCTGATTTCTGAACCTAAATGAAAACCCTGTATTTAAAGAACAACAATTTTTTTCCCCTTTTTCTTTGCATACTAGGAGACATATAAGATGTTTAACGATGCCGACTCATTCATATACTCTCCCACTGGTGACATAACAAACACACTACAGAAACAACATGGTGATTACTACGACAGTAGTTTACCCTTGTGGAAACGAGTGAGTAGCTTCTTTAAGACTTATTTGTCTTTGTTTGCTGTTACTACCATTTGCATCTAGGGGTGAACACCAGACATCAAAACATGCCCTAACTAGCTCCTGAAACTCATATTTTTGTCAGCTAAAAAATTTGGCAGTTTGGGAGATTGTTGATGTAAAGGACGAACGAAAAGGCCCCAGGATTGTCCCCTGAGGAATGCCGCAGCATAGTGAATTGTTATCTGACAAATAAACATTCACTAAGCATCTTTGTTTGCACTCACTCAGGTATGAATTCAACCAGTCATGAGCGAGGATTGTACCCCTGTACACATTTCAGGAGCCATTTTAAAAGACATCTTAATTAATGTCTAGTGTTTGCATCTAGATGCAACAATAACAATAATTGCCTTTTATTTATTCTCTTATTTACCAGTATTGGTTTGTTTTAAATTATTATTATTTATGTTCATTTGATAACTGATTAGAATAGATTATGTTAACTTTACTTTAAATTTCTTATCATATTTTCTAGGCTGATCAGAGATTTTTCTGGAACAGATACATGATACAGGACTTGATAAATAATGAAGTAAGCTATGACAATAATTTGTAATTCCAGGTTTTTGTCTCAATAAACAACAGCTTTTACTCAAAATTAAAGAAAATAAACTCATCAATGGACAAATACACCTTTTATCTTTTAGAAATAGTATATTTCGTTGTTTCATTGTTGGTGGAAACTATTTCCTTTTGACAAGAAATAATAGAAAATGCTTGGAAAATTTTCATTTTAACGAACAGTGCATTGCATGCCTAGATTCCAAATCACCTGGTACCTCTTAACATTTTACTCACTATTATGCCTCTGATTGGCTGAAAACATTCAGCAAAAACCCCCGATACTGTGTGAACTTGACACCAATATGTATGGCTGCATTACCTGTAAGTTTTTCTAATCAAAATATGCAATGCTGAAAACTCTCGTTGCAGGACCCACTGTGTGCCCATTGGATACTTCCAATTATTCAAGGCTACTGCCAGATAGTTCACTGTGTAAACAATTTTGAGGAGGAAGAACCAGACGAACTGGTTGAGATCCAGAGAGGAGATCTGCCAGCAGAAAAGTTTGATATTCTGCTCATATCCCGACGAAGCATCCACAGAGCTGGTGAGATTTATGCAGGACTTAAAATAACTGCCATGATGTCTCCTAAGATAACCAGTCATGGGACAATGTCCAACCAGAATTGGTGCTTGCCCAATCAAATTTATTTTTTGCCTTGCTAGTTATTTTTAGCCAGAAGTGAGGTATGACTGAATAAAATCTAAGTTGGGCGGTGATTATGATCAGTGACCAGTGATCAGTGACCTGACCAGCCAATATCTTAATTTCTGTTAATATATTGAAGAGTTAGTGTACATGCAAGCCCTATGCAGTTATAATTAGCATGTCAGGATTGGCAGACCATGAGTCTAATGAGAAAAGTGTTACCGGAAAGAGAAGCATAAGACATGCAGAAATCTTCTCAACATTTCTCGAGTGTCTCATTTTCTAGGTGACCATTTTTAATAGTTAAGTAAAACTTGATTTAGTGTATTTTAATTTGAAGAGATAACTAGCTAAAAACTAGTGTGAGCTGCATCTGTGTTTCTAATGAAACCGTAATGATAAAAAGGTAAATTATGGACCGTGAAAAGGTGAAAAAACTGACGTTTCGGACGCTAGTCCTTCGCCGGAGTAAAAGATGAAGGACTAGCATCCGAAACGTCCGTAAGTTTTTTCATCTTTTCACGGTGTATAATTTACCTTTTTATCTTTACTGTATTTGAATTTGTGGGTTTCAAAATATCAAGCCACTTTTGCCTAAAATCTTAACTTTTGCTTCTTTTCAAGGTACTCGCTATAAAAGAAGAGGGGTAGATGAAGATGGAGAGGTAGCTAATTTTGTGGAAACAGAACAGGTAAGTTTGGTGTTGTGATGAATTAATAAATCAAATGGTTTTTATGGACGGCTAAAGGTTGTCTTACAGATTGAAATTGGGAAAGTGATCTTTGAAGTTAAAATAAAACGAAATGGGCAAAGGAAAAATGTACTTGCCTCTCGCCTTCCAGCTTCTTACTTGCAATAGTTCCTTCCACTGTTCCCTACGCCATCTTGAAAGGTAGCCGTGCCTTTGCATCAAAGCGAGATGATCGGTGAGCTTGCAATGATAGAGACATTTTTTTAACACCTTGGACAATTATTCACAAGTATCATTGCAAGCCCACAGTTCGTCTCACTGCGATGCAAAGGCCTGGCAACCTCTCAAGATGTTGCAGGGAGCCATGGAGGGGACTATTTCTGGAATCAGTAACACACAACTGAGTATTTTCTCCTTTTATGAAAGATTTTTCCAGTTGCTCAATTTGTTCTTTGAGAGACAAGCCTAACAGATCTGTCCAGTGGTTGTTTCATAGTTTGTAGATAATTGAGCACTGATTTTATTTCTTCATTGCTCTTACAACATAGATCATAAAAACAGATGATCATTCTGTATCATTTGTACAAGTGCGTGGTTCTGTACCCATTTACTGGAGTCAACCTGGCTTTAAATACAGACCTCCACCACGTCTTGATAAAGGTACAGTTAATTAATTGTTCTTCATATATTCATTCCTACATTCATCCATCCATCCATCCATCCCTCTCTCCCTCCCTCCCTCCCTCCATCCATCCATCCATCCATCCATCCATTTACCCTTCCAGCTCTTTTGACCATTACTTTTGTATTTTCTTTTCATTCATTCATCCTTTTTTTCAGATAAAGAGGAGACTCTGATGGCATTTATGAGTCATTTTGCATCCCAGTTGAAACACTATGGTGGAGTGGTATGTCTATCTAAGGGACCATTCGTTAAGGGGGAGGGGGCTGGTGGGATTTTTTGAATTATAAAAATGCCCATAACAAATGAACAGCTAAATCTTTGATCATCTTGCTAAATCATCTGAATCTTAGCCTCTTTATACAGGCTACAAAATCTCTCTTGATACATTGTATGACTATCTTTAGTCAGTACACACGTACACTTTTTTACATGGACTTTTGTCATGTCCAGCCATTAGGTACCTGTTATTTTTACTTACCCTGTTACATAATACCCACCCATTATTTCTTTGATTTTATTGACAGGTGATCATCAACCTGATTGATCAGACAGGTCGTGAAAAGGTTAGTTCAAAGCATTAATATGCTATCTCCTGGATTAAATTTCTAACTTCCTGTATTTCAAATTCTCCTTTACTTACAACTTCAAACTACCAGTAATCTTCCATTTTAAAAAGAAGTCTTCAAATTTTATCGATACCCTGAAACCCTCCATTTTCCAAAGAAATCTGTAAATTTTACATCCTGAAACAGACTTACACCTTTATTGACACCCTGAAACAGACTTAAATCAAGGAAGAGGCCTAACAAATCCTGAAAAAAAAACCCACTAATTTATTCGCATCAGTGAGTGAGAAAAGAGATATTGAGGTTACCCCTATCGTCAACATCTCCTAGGATTGAATTAGAATTTAGTAGTTGATTTTTACAGAGGAAGGAAAACTGAGTACCCAGAGAAAAACTTTTGAAGCACAGGAGAAAACCAACAAACAACTCAACTCACATAAAATACCAAGCTCAGCGAGGTCCAAACCCGGGTCACCTTGGTGAGAGGCAAGTGTTCTCGCAGCTACATCACCCGTGCTTCCCCTAATCACACATGTACTGAGTCTGGATTTCAAACCCGAGAACCCAGAGACCTGCAAGATGGGAGCACAGCTGCTGCAGCACCCTTGATCCCCTGATTATAGTCTTAACACTTGTGGTGCTTTTCATCAGATTATTGGAGATGCATTTATGGAAAATATCCTTCTCTTTAACAATCCTCTCCTGACGTACGTCACTTTTGATTTCCATGAACACTGGTAAGTTACAACAAGTAATTGTGTAGTTCCAGAAATTATCCATACCCTCTCCCCCCACGGAGGAATTTTTAGTCCCCCCTACCCCCAGAAATCCCAATTTTCTTCCATACAAACTCTGTCATTTTTTCTTTCTCTTGCCCTCCTGGGGGGGGGGAGCTTTGAATATACACTGCAGTATTAACTGTGCTGTCTTTCGGTATTTGTCTTTTAGTCGTGGCATGAAGTTTGAAAATGTTTCAGTATTAGTGGAGGGTATTATGGATGAACTGAAAGACATGAGATATTGTTGGTTTGTAAACCATTGAAGATCGTTATTTAGCTGTACTGAGGTTGAGAAAAGCACTGGTTCCAGTTGGTATTGCAATACATTTTGGAGCTGTTTTAGGGGGCAAGATAGACACCGTTTTGAAAATGTCCCCTAAAAAGTCCCAAAGTGCATTGCAATGTCAACTTGACCCAGATTTTTTCTCAAACCCGAAGCAGTTAATAGCATATCACAAATTTCAATTATATGTAAACATTACAAAAATCTTACAAAAGAAATTATTTGTGAAAATTCAAGAAGCAATATGAGCAACAAAGTCATGCAACCTGTCCCTATGTTGAGCATGGGATGATAGCATGAGTAAGTAATGTAATTACATCTGCAAATGGTTAGACCTTCATATCGCCAGATGACCAACTTAATGGAGGTCCCATCCCTAATCAACCAGAGACGTTAAAAGTAGCCTGCAGAGCAGGTGTTCTCGTGATGGGTATGGGGAAGAATTGGAGTTTTGGGGTTCCTGTGTCAACTATGTGCCAAATTTCCATAGTTCCCCCAAAACCCCGGTTTCTCCCCAAACCCACAAGAATACCTGCTTTGCAGGCTACCTTAAAAGAGGACCACGAGTTTATCAGTTGAATCACTGTCAAGTGTCATCCTCTATAAACAAAGTTAATTGTATTTCTAAGGCTTCTGTTGCTAGTATTATCTCACCTTAAGAGATGTTTTTCAATGTTTGTTTGAACAGGACGGACTCCAAGGGGATTATCTGTGAACAGCGTAGTGTGTTTCGCATCAACTGCATGGACTGTTTGGACAGGACGAATGTTGTGCAAGCTGCTTTAGCTCGTCAAGTCATGGAAGTCCAGGTAAAATTCTGTTCAGTACACCCAGCATTCTAGGATCATAGGCACAAATTATTGATACCCTGGGATTGAACCCTAAAACAACCTCTGGGCTGATCTAGGTCAGGGCTTGGTTAACTCACAGATTGAACCCTGAAACAACATCTAGGCTGATCTAGGTCAGGGCACAGCTAACTCACAGATTGAACCCTGAAACAACATCTAGGCTGATCTAGGTCAGGGTACAGCTAACAGATCAAGCCCTGAAACTTGTAACCTCTAGGCTGATCACAGTCAGGGCACAACTAACACACAGATCTAATTGTGATTTTAGCTAGGTAGGGTAACTTGCAGAAACAGGAAAACCAGAGAACCCATAGAAAAACCCTTGAATCAAGGCAGAATCTCAACAAACATGAAAATGATGATAAGAGCAATTGTGTCAAATCAAATCTAACCCAAGATTTATCTATCTAAACAGCTTCGTAAGCTTGGGAAGCTACTACCAGATCAATCCTTACCTGCTGATGTTCGCTCATCATTTCAAGAAATGTGGGCTAATAATGGAGATGCCATAAGTAGACAGTACGCTGGGACAGCAGCTTTGAAGGTGAGTTTCTATCATTGGGTAGCCTGTGTTATAGATCAGGCTTGTTCACAATAGCATCACAAACCTAATCACTTTTATAATCTCAGGAAGAGTCCAATATATAAAAAATCCTATTGGAATCTAGTAAAAGAAGAGCCACTCTGTGCAATATTCTCTTTTAATCCCATTATCATCATCATCATCATCATGGTCATCATCATCATCATCATATTTTATATATACACCTACTTGCAAGAAGGTTGTCATACAAGAATAGAACATTCGTAACTTAGTGAGAAAGGAATTATTTAAAAGACAAAAAAAAGTTCAGCTTCAGTGATCTTCTTTTGTTTTTTAATATAATTCCTATCCCACTAAATCACTAATGTTCTATTTTCGTATGACAACATTCTTGMAAGTARGTGTATATAGCAGTTTTTGCATAAGTGAGAAACAAAAAACGTACTGAATTACAGCACATATTTTAATTGACTTTTCTAGAAGTTTAAAATGGTTTTCCCTTGTCTTCCAATAGAATTCTTTAGCTTGAGTGTAATCCCAGGTTGCACATGACAAGACACTTGAATGTGGATACAACTAAAACCAAGAATCTTATTCTCTGGGGAATAACATGTGGTCTGTGATGAAAAAAACAATACACCCAAGCTAAGGAGGTCTATGATTCATCGAATCACAACGCATAGTTACGGCTACCTTAAAGATCCCACCCCGTCTCCCACCTCGTCTCCCACCTGTTCAAAAACCACCCTGTCAATATGTAGTAAGCTTCATCTCTTTTGGCACTTTTTGACATTTTTAGCATTAAGTGAGAGCTGCCACTGGGTATTCCTTACTTCACACTTGTTTTTGATTATTCCTCGGTTCACAAATGATCGTAAGGTGATCGTAATCATAGTCATAAAAAAAAACCTTTCGCTCCTAGCTTCATTGTAACGATGCTTTATGTTTCTTATGATTGCAATTACGATTACTTCTACAACATGAGTGTGAACTCGGATTTCGTAATGAACAGAACATGGAAAAAGAGTTATGGTTGAGTGACATTGGATTGGATTTTGCTTGTTTTTCAGGGGGATTTTACCAGAACAGGAGAAAGAAGATTTACTGGTTTTATGAAGGATGGATATAACTCAGCAAACAGGCAAGAAGAAAGGATATTTATAATCAGGGGCGTATCCAGGGGTTGTCCTGCAGTGCACCAGACACCCCCCTGATGCTGTAAATTTACTCTTAGCTTTTTTGAAGCTAAGCATAATTTATTTTTTCGTGATTCGCCCAAGGGCAGGAGATAATACAATAGGACTCTAGGTCCCCTATATTAACACCCAATATCTCTTTATATACATTTCTTCATTTGGGAAACCCCCTAACAAATTCCTGGATCTGCCCCTGATAATATATTGCAGTGCACCAGACACCCCCCCTCCCTCCCTCCCTCACGCTGTAATTACTCTTAGCTTTTTCGAAGCTATGCATAATATCTCTTTATATACATTTCTTCATTTGGGACACCCCCTAGCATAATATTTTGCCATGTCCATCTGGCAATCAATCTGACTATAGAAATATATTTTGCAGATACTACCTCAATAGGTTCAAGGCTGTTTATAGACAAACTGTAATCGGTAAGAGAAATAGTCATTTTCCTTTCTTCCTTTCTTGTTCCATCCATCCATCCTTCCATCC